TATTTTACTTTTGTATTTTTTCAGTTGGTTATACAGTTCACTTGAGCTTTAGGGCTATAGCGAATACCCTCCAATTGCTTCTCTCCAATTGCTTCACACAGTTCCTTATACTGTTAGGTGGGTAGCTATGCAGTTTTTATTAGTAAATTTTGCGAGTCTAACTTCCGATTGTACAGCAGTTTACACTGAGAGCTTGTTCTCAATTTTGATGGTATGAGCAGTTAACACGGAATGTTTTGTATCAGTTCCGTTATCTGCCTTTCTGGTAGTCATAATGTCTTTCAACATTTTACTGGGAGTTTGAGATACCTTAGCATGAATTATATATTCATTTCAGATGACACTATTGCTGGCCTGACCAGTCGACATTTACAGTTTCAAGCCCATCAGGAGTCCTCAAGGTGAGCATATTGGCTGTTTGGGCTCTTTGCAGCTATTGCAGTTTCAGTTTTACAGTTAGTTTCACAGTTACACAATCTTTATGTCATTGAGTTACAGTTGCTAAGCAACACATTTACAACATTGGGCCAAGTAGACATGCTTCTTATTAGCGGTAGTTTATGACAGCTTTTACTAGGCTATTCACTCTTTTTATTATTAGGAGCCCTTGCCAGTAGAAGTGCCTTCCGGCCCCGTAGCAGCTATCGTGGGAAGTACATATCATCCCGCTGTGGTTTAAGTAGTAGAGGTGAGTACATTCTCGGGGGCTCTTCAGCCATACCTGGCTGTTAACCATCTACTTTGCAGTTTAACAGCTTAACCCTAGCGGTTTCATTTGGGGTTTTTCAGGGCTTTGTATAAAAAACCTCCTACCTCATACCCACCTACCCACGTACGTGGGACATGATATAGTCTTTGAAGGGTTCAATTTTAAAGATCTTAGGTTTATTAAATCTTAGTTTATGATGAATTATAGATGCATTTGTAACGACCCTTGATAGCAAGTTGCTACTACATCCCAGCTGGGTTCGATTCCCACAATTTAGCACACTTTTTCAAATTCTTTATTCCCCTGGGGCGCCCTCGGGTCATTACACATTAAAATGCATCCATATATGCCTTTATTTATGGATCTGTCATCTGCCTAGTCATAAAATATAGCCGGAATTGTAGAAATGTTAATAGTTTGAGCTATTTTGAGATTTAATAATCTATAAAATTGAACCCTTCAATGACTGTATCATGTTCCATGTAGGTGGATAGGTGGGTATGAGGTAGGAGGTTTTTTATACAAGGCCTTTTTTCAGCTAATGCTATATTGACTACCACGCAGATTAATCGCTCCTATAGCATTGTTCACTCGCAGTTTAACATTTAACTGCATTTAACAGATACCCCTTTGGGGTCCTTGCACGTAATTCATCTATTTGGCTCTTATCAGTCTTTGTTTTCCATTATTTCCACTATAAACATTTTATCTTAACATGGCAATATGTATTAAAAAAAATATTAGACATGGATTATTCCACACCTCATAATTATTTCAGCAAACATATTTTAAAAATGAGACCCAATCAAGTCAGGCTATGGAGGCAGATATTTGTCTGCGGGCCTTCAGGTGAGGCTAGAAACTTTTATGAAGGAGAATTCAAAGTATAAACTCTGCAAAAACGGTTAAAATTGTGAGCACAGTTAGATGTGCGATTAGAATGCGAACAAAACAACTAGAGGAAATGCCTGACAAGAAAGGATATATCACCTAATTATTGCGCAGAGAAATTATAAATGTCACCCGCCACATTTTTGGATACCACAGGTTGTGTGATTTGGCCTGGTGTGAATCCAAAAAAGGTAAGGAGAAATATGTAAAAGAAATGGATTGGTCAAACAATTGTTTTCTCTGTAATGAAACAGGCTGAGGTGTCAAAAATAGCCCAACGTGGCAACGGAAAATTGGAAAAAAATGTTAGGTTGTTTCATGCAAATGTTTTAGATGAAATTGAAGCTGAAGACCTAGAATGGGGATAACATAAGTCATTTAAAAATCTAGATTCATATTTGGTCAGCGAAATTACCGGGTTTTCTGAAAATATACACATGGAAAGATCCTGTCGGCAACATGTATAACCAAAATTATGGCATATTCTTTACTTTCTTTACTGTCACAAATTTTAGAATTTTTCAAATTATTTTTTTAAATAAGTTAGTGTCGTGACGATACGGTAGCTTCACAGTTAGATTAGACCAGTTTATTAGATGTATTTATATATTCCTTACTTACCACCAGTGATTTATCTTTATAGATTTGAGCCATTTTCTCAATTATTTGAAAACTTTTGAATATTTTTATGGAGGCCGCCATCTTGCTTTTACGTCATCAGAAAGTTACTTTCGTTGTTAAAATTCAAAAACATGTGAAGAAAATTCACCCAAAAACCTACAGGTTAGTGTTTAGTTTGTACAATGCAATTAGTATCTTTATATTGATTAGTATCTAGCGGTTCTTTTCAGCTAGTTTATAATGTAACTCAAGGCTTAACCACGTCAAAATCTAGTGTTTAAGGTTAGATTAAACTGTTTGAAAGTTTTGTGACATTTCGTCACGATCATGAGCACGATCTTTTCAATCATCAATTTCTCGTTTAATTTGTCATTTATAGTTGTATATTTGTATTTTCAGGTGTTATTAAGCATGTTTTTCTATTGTTAACTTGAGAAACTTTGCCATTTTTCGAAATCAAGAAACTTATGTTTTTCTATTGTTAACTTGAGAAACTTTGCCATTTTCGAGATCAAGAAACTTATGTTTTTCTATTGTTAACTTGAGAAACTTTGCCATTTTTGAGATCGAGAAACTTACATTGTTCTTTTCATAATTTAGTTAACTTGAGAAACTTAGCCATTTTTAGATCAATTATTTTTCATCAATTTGTTGACCGAAGAAATACTGCTGGACTGAGGAACTTTGCCATTTCCAGACAAAGTTCATAATATTCCAGCCTGACTGAAGAAATACTGCTGGACTGAGGAACTTTGTCACTTCCAGACAAAGTTCATAATATTCCATTTTACAAGTTCTTTTGGCAGGATGTTAGTTTGTATGTTATAAATGCTATAAATGAATCCTATGAAACTGGCATACTGCCACCATCTTTTAGAAAAATTATAATTAGTTTACTTTTTAAAAAAGGAGATAGGGAACTTTTGAAAAACTTTAGACCTATCTCACTCTCTAATACAGACTACAAGATACTAGCTTTTATTTTGGCAAAGCGAATGCAAAAAGTAATTGCAAAAATAATTGGGTCTCAGCAGACTGCCTATATAAATAATCGTTTTATTGGAAATAGTTGTCGACTTACGCTTGATATTTATGAATATGCTGAAAATTATGAAAAAGAGGGCGCTATTTTATTCATTGATTTTAAAAAATCTTTTGATAGTATCGAGTGGAATTTCATCTTTGAAACATTCAAAAAATTCAATTTTCCTGAACAGTTTATTAAGTGGATAAAAATACTCTATGTAAAACCAATGGTAACTATAAAACAAAATGGATGGTTTTCTGAAAATATACACATGCAAAGATCCTGTCGGCAAGGCTGTCCAGTATCTGCTTTGGCATTTATTATGTGCACAGAGGTCCTTGCACTTAAAATAAAACAGAATATTAACATAAAAGGCATTGAAATAAACAATAATGAATATAAACTCTCTCAATATGCAGATGATGCTAATTTATTTTTAAAAGACAAAGATTCAATATTGCAAGCAATTCAAACGATTCAATCATTCTCTTATGTTTCTGGATTAGAACTAAATATAGACAAAACTGAAGGAATTTGGTTAGGGAGAAGTAAAGTGAATGAAAATAACTTTGCAAATATAAAATTTAGCAAATTAGAAAAAGGTGGACTTAACATGATAGACTTTGAATCTCAATTGCATGCTCTAAAAGCTGCTTGGATTCCAAGGTTATATGATAAAAACAAATGATGAATAAAATACCATATCTCTATTTTGATAATATTGTAAATGATTTTGATGTATTATTGAAAATGAATAGTTTTGATTTGCAATACTTTCAGAAAATACCAATTTTTTATCAGCAAGTATTATGTGCTCATGCCAAATGTAAAGACAAAAAAAATCTTGAAAATATGAAAACATGTGATATCCTGCAAGAGACTATATGGGGCAATAGTTTGTTTACTGTAAACAAAAAAACTCTGTATTTTAGAAATTGGATTGAAAGTGGTATTGTCTATGTAACGGATCTAATAATAGAGGATACATTTAATGATATCAACCACATTTTTCAAAAGTTACAGGAAAAACAAAATTGGATTTCTGAATTTTATCAAGTTAACTCAAGTATGAATATTGCAAGAGGTTTTATTGATGTCAATAAAGCAAAATACACTAACATTCCAAATTACAGATTGAAAGCAAATAATGTTTTATTCCAAATTAGAGATCAAAAATCAAAATTCTTTTATGAAATTTTGAAAAATAAGCAATCTGAAAAATGGTTCATGAAAAAGAAATGGGAACGTGAATTTTGCTTCTTAAATAATGAAACCTTCGATGAAATAAATTGGGAAAACTTTTTTTTTACAAGGATAAAATGTAAAGAAAAGAAGATAGCTAATTTCAACTATAAGATTATAAACAACATCCTTCCTAGTCTAAATGACTTACATTTATATGGAAAAAGTGAAACATATAATTGCAGTTTGTGCGGAGAAGTATGTACATTAAAACATTTGCTTTTCACATGTACACTCTCCCAAAATGTTTGGAAATATATCTTTAATATATCAGGTTTAAAAATAACATATAGAAAGTTGATAATAGGCTATAATGGAAATGACAACCAGACTGCATTTTTGAACTATTTTATTCAAAATGGCTGCCACTGGGAGAAGGCTTACATAATTTGCTCCTCAGATTATCAAACTTTTCATCATTTTCAATTGTTAAATAGATATTCTAAGTGGAACTGTATTGTAAATAAACATAGAGAGGATGTTTTGGATCAGTTTATTTAGACTTTAAAGGATTATTACACAGGATATATTCAAACAAAAGGATCTTGAAAACAAAGGAGATAAACTTGAAACTAGGTCAACAGACTTTCTAGACTTCACATGTAAATTTCACATGTTTAAGCTGTTATTTAGCCATAAAATAAGTCAAGTTAAAGAAACCAGAATTTTAAGAAACATCATACATTTGGATATTTTATGAAAATAGATGAATTAATAATATAAACCAAGATTTAAAGAGTAATTTCAAACTAAATTTTAGTGGGAGTAAATGGAATAGCTTAAATTAACCATTGTTTATTAATATAGATTAACACTGACAATTAATGGAACAGCCAAAACAAATCATTGTTTATAAACATGGATTAATCTAGAAACTGACAGTGCACTGATAATTGGATTATAATTCTAATGCAGTTTATATTTGTTACTTAACTATTAACTGTCAAACCATGGCTAAAGAGAAACATGAACATTCTCTGCGCAGTTGCATTAAACCAACTTTTAGCTCACCATCGAAAAAAGGAAAAGAGAAAAAGAACACTAGAAGACAGAATATAAAAACACTGAAAAAGAACCCTGAAATTCTTCACGAAAATTATGAATACCATGATCTCAACAACACTGGTGTGATCACCATAGATGTGGATTACAAAAGGTTGTGTTTTTACACAGAACGTCCGTACTTGTGGATAGATGCTTTAACTGCATTTTACAGAAACAAAGGTATGAAAGCCTCAACCGCACGCCAAACAAATGGCACAACTGTAACTGTTGCAGATCATGTCACAATAGAAGTAAATGATTCGGGAGTCATAGGTGTAACAGGTGACGCACTAGAGGACTGGCGGGAAAATGATTTCCAGTTAATCAAAGGAACTATCGCCCCTTTGATCCCAATGCCAGTGTCAACACCCTCAAGGATTGACCCACCATCATCATCATCTACACCCCTTACAACCCGTTCAATGGATTATCAATCCCAAGATATTATACCCCCTACTCAATCCCAAAGTATTCCATCAGAGAACATTACTGTCATCACGGACACACAGGAACCATCTATCGGGCCTAATACCAGTGCTATAGATATGGAGGACAGTCAAATGCTCTTTAGCAACATGTCATCCACACTCTCAGGATCTGATCCAGACATGTCTCAATCACTGCTCCGGCCAAATCATAATAAAACAACTGATGAAACTGTAGAGACTATCACCCTAAAGGACACACAGCCTTCTAGCAATGATCTGAATACAACCCCCTCCCAGCCAACAACAGGTGATTTACACATGACAGAAACACAGACAGACACACCCGAGCCACCATCCCCACCCCCAGTTTTGTGTCACTGTGCAAAGGCTCCTACTATATCATATGAAGGAGAAAACAAAAAACTCAGAAGTAAAATCATCCAACAAGCTGCCAAAATAGATGATCTCCTACAGCGTGTAGAAGTAAATGAACTTCAGAGGAAGGATGAAGCAGAAAAACAACAGTTACTCTTTGACAGTAGAGTCAGAGACCTTGGCAATGAACTCTCAACAGTTAGAAATGAGCTTAGGATCAAAGAAAAGGAATTTTCTGGATTACAGGCTGATCTCAAAACAACCTTTAACAAAAACCTTGTGTTAATGGCAAAGCTGGAGAAACATGAAAAACAAAGACACAATGCATCCCTACCACAAAGCTTAAATGAGAACTCTACTAAAACCACAGCCAAACAACAGTCAGCAACAAAACAACAAAAAGCAATACCAACACCCAAGAGACCTATAACACCTCCTTCAACTACATCACCTGCTACAAAGGTGCAAGGGAAGGCATCATCGCCACCCCCACCCCCTCCCCCTCCCACAGTGCATATTATGTACAGCTCAAATGGGAAAAAACTTGCTGGTATAATGAAAGGCAAGGAAAGCAGAATCAAGGTGACATCTTCAGTGTACAGTGGAGCCCGAGTAGAAGATGCCACCCATGTGATACAAAATGGAGACATACCAACTTCTACAGATTATAAAATCCTAGGATTTGGAACAAACAACGTTCAAACTGATACCCCACAAGAGATTATCTATGGACTTAAAAATCTCATACAGACTGCACGAAACCGCCACAAAACATCAAAACTCATCCTTGCTGGACTACACCATAGAGGTGATTCTAATTCTGATGAACAGATTTACAAGATGAACCGTAACATTGATCAGATTAACTGTGCAATGGAAGCGTTTTGCCATCAACAACATGTCGGTTTCATTGACATCAACAAGATCAATAGATCAACTGCCAACCACCCAAACTTTAGTGTTCTCTTTGGAGATAGATTGCATTTCAACTTCCGGGGTAGAGACAGCATGGTGAATGCAATGATTTCAACCATGAAGAATGGACTTTCAACAGGCTTGAGGACTTATTCCTCAGTCCTAGCTGAAAGGGTAAACCCTTACAATTCTCGATACATCCCCAAGTTTTAAACAGTGATCAGTGTGATTGCATCCATGATACTATTTTGGATACTATGACAACTTCCTCCATTATAGAATCCAAGCATGTTATTGACTTTAATGCTCAACCATATGTAAATAATGTCCAACCTTCTGTAAATAATGTTCAACCTTCTGTAAATAATGTTCAACCTTCTGTAAATAATGTTCAATTATGTGCTCATAATCAGAAATCTTATTCGGTAAAAACACATGTTAATAATGTGCAGTCACTTAATGTTAATGAGCAATCACATGTTGATACAGTGCAATCATGTATTAGTAAATGTAGTATGCAATCAAGTTTAGATCATAGTAGTGAGAGTAGCAGCCAAGCAAGAAATGTTGATCAAAATAACTCTAAACCCAAAAAATGCTCATTGAACAGTTCATTGAAAAATCAAGGTTTAAGTTGTTTATTTTGGAATATCAATAGAATTTCAGACAAATTACATAATGACAATACTATAAATGAACTTTTCAGCAAATATGCAATTATATTATTAAGTGAGACATGGTTGAATCCTGGTGAAACCCTGTCTTTTTCTGGTTACACTGTGCATAATCTAGCAAGGAAACGTAAAAATCATAATTCAAATGCATATTCAGGTGGCTTAGCTGTTTTTATTAAAGACAATTTTTACAATAATGCAATTGAAGTATTAAAACAAACTCATGATTTTTATGTTTGGATTAAAATCAAATCCTCATATTTTAATCTGGAAAATGATATCTTTATTTGCTTCATTTATATGCCTCATAAGGGTTCACCTTATGAAAATTTTGACAATTTTGATGTTTTGGAAAAATCTATAGCTTTTTATCAATCATCGGGTAAAATAATTATTTGTGGGGATATGAATGCCCGTACTGCCACTTTATCTGACTGTAATACTGTTGTATATGGATCAGATGATAAATTTACTAGCTCGTACTTTTTTAATGATCAGTGTAGAAATGATCCACAAAAACCTGACCTTATTCCAGACCGGTTTTCAATGGATAAAAACATCAAAGCAGTAAATCAGACACATGGTCGTGACTTTATTAATTTATGTAAAGCCTCTGATCTAAGAATTTTAAATGGACGTTTTTTCCATGATAAAGGAATTGGTAAATTTACATACTTTAGATATCTGAAACAAAATGATAATGACCCTTTGAAAGGAAAATCGGTTATAGATTATGTAGCTTCGCAATCTGGATTACTCCACATGTTTACTGATTTTAAAGTTCATGACAGGCATCCTGATTCTGATCATTCACCTGTACATTTCACACTTAATTTAAATCAACCAAAAGTAACAAATATTGAAGACAATACTGTTCAAAATTTACCTTACACCTATTTTAAATGGGATCGCAGTTTAAAAGAAACATTTACTGACGCATTACAGGATAACTTAAACAATGGGTTTCTTGATCAGTTTTACATTAATATGGGGCAAAATACCAGCTCCAATAGTCTATTGCAGGATCTTAAAGGTACTATTTATCATGCTTCTAAAAATACATTTCAGATTAAGTGTCTCAAGAAAAAAACTCAAAAATTCCCAGTGAACCCATGGTTTAATAGTGAATGTAAACAACTGAAAAAGGACTTCCACTTAGCTATTAAACAAAACTTACCTGATAGTGTGACAGATGAAATTCAGAAAAAATATAATCAAACCAAACAACGTGAAAAAAGAAGGTATCAGTCAGATCAATTAAAGTCACTTATGTTCTTTAAATCAAATAATTCAACAGAATTTTGGAAAATGATTAAATCTATGCCTGGAAATAAACAGCTAACAGAAATTCCAATTGAAACTCCAGAACTCTTCAGAGCATTCAAAAATCTTGGTCAATTGCCTAGTATGGACTATTTTGATCATGAGGCACTAGTTGAGATGCAAATGTTCATTAATGAATACGATGTCAACAGTATTTTAACAGATGAAAGGAAATTGAGTGATAATGTCCTAAATAACAATATTCAAGAATCTGAAGTGTATACGGCCTTAAATAAAGTTAATGATAATAGATCTGCTGGGATTGATGGTTTGCCCTCAAGCATAATTAAGAACTGCATATCACTTGTTCCTGATATCACTGCTCTTTTTAATCATATTTTTCTAAGTGGAGATTACCCAAATGAATGGAGCATAGGCATGTTGTCAACTATTTTTAAACAAGGTAGTAAAATTGATCCTGATAATTATAGAGGAATAAATGTTTTAGCTTGTATAGGCAATGTGTTCGACTCAGTCATCCAGAATAGACTTGTTTTCAATGCTGAAATGTTGAACACCCAAGATCCACTTCAAGGTGCCTATAAAACTGGACACCAGACAAGTGACAATTTATATATCTTAAGCACTCTTATATCTCACTATAAACGATTGAAGAAACCAGTATATTGTATTATGATTGACTTCAAAAAAGCGTTTGATTTTGTAAATAGGTCTGCACTAATGTATAAACTATGCAAAGCAGGTATATCACCAAGTTCAAATATTTTTAAAATTATTTCCAGTATGTATAAAAAATCCAAAGCTTGCCTCAAACTCAAAGATGGTATCGTCCCTACTTTTGAGACAGATGCCGGTGTAATGCAGGGCTCTGTCCTTAGTACTTATTTATTTAACCACTTTCTTGATGATTTGTCAGACTATTTACCGAAGGAGTATGGACTTCAATTTGACGGTGATAAGATAAACCATTTACTTTGGGCTGATGATTTAATTTTATTGTCAAATACTGAAGATGGAGCTCAAAAAATGTTAAATTGTTTATTTAAGTTCTGTAAGAGGTATCACCTTATTGTTAACACATTAAAGACGAAATCAATAATTTTTAATTCAAAATCCAATGTGCAATTCACTTTTAATGACAACATTATTGAAAGCGTTAACCACTATAAATATTTGGGCTGCATATTTAATAATAACATTAATTTTGATAAACACATAGGTTATCTCCAAGAACAGGCAAGGAAAGCCCTTTTTAAAATTAAGCAACAGTATAAAAAATTTAACGATGTTCCTATCTCCGTTGCCCTGCATCTTTTTGATAGCTTGGTTGAACCAATTTTAATGTATGCCTCTGAGATATGGTATAGTAAGAAGCATGTAAAAGCTATAGAAACAATACACTTATCATTCCTTAAATGTTTGCTTGGTGTGAAAAAATCAACAGCTACACCGGCTGTTTATGGGGAGCTAGGACGTTATCCTTTAAAAATTCGTTTCAACATTAAGCTGATTAAATATTGGCTGCGTTTAATGAAATTACCTGAAGAAAATATGCTCAATAAATCATATTTGTATGACCTTGAAATGAATGGTTTGGGTTACTCTGGCACTTGGTCCAGTAAAGTTATTGACATATTAAAACAATGTGATTTATTCTCTCATTGGTTGACTCAAAATGTTGAAGATGATTATATATTTATTCAAACGATCACAAAGAAATTAAAAAGTAATTATGCACTTCAATGGAAACAGGATATTCTTACTTTTCCTGTTCTTAGAACTTATATAAAATTCAAAAATACTTTCACCAAAGAATTATATTTAAACATTCAAAATAAAAAGTATAGACATGCATTAACTAGGCTCAGGATGAGTTCACATAAATTACAGATAGAAGTTGGGCGGTACTCAAAACCAAAGCCAAAACCCACAAGTGAAAGGTTGTGTAGTGAATGTGGGGTAATTGAGGATGAGCTTCACTTTATCACAAGCTGTACAAAGAACTTAAAACACAGAGAGCTTTTGTTTGAAACTTTAGAATCTGATCTGAAACAGTGCAAAGATCCAGATAAACTGTTTGAAACTATTATGTCTAGTAAAAGCTCTCATGTTAACTTACATTTAGCCAAATTTGTATATCACTCTTTTAAAAATTTGGAAAATGATTAATATTATGTAAACATTTTTTTAAAACACATGTATTATGGATACACCACACTGATATCATACCCTGACATGTGAAACTGATGTAAAGTAGTTTTGTAGTATGTAGTTGTAGTTTGTAGTTTTTTGTACACTGTAGTGACTGATATGTCATTTACATGACATGGTTATTGAGTCAATAAAAGATATATATATATTAGTATTGTAACATTTGTGATCTATAAAGCATACATCAAAGAATTTAATAATGGAATAAAACGGAATTTTGAAGGAATTGTTAAAACTCTAAAATTCGAAATTTATGTACGTAAAAATGTATTTTTTAAAAACAAATGGAATATGATAAGATTGTAATTGATTTATTACTACTGTATCTGTACTTACTTTAAAAAACTGAAATAAACTATATTGAAAAAAAAAAAATAAAATATTCCAGCCTGATTGAAGAGCTTTGCTGGATTGAGAGACTCTGTCATTTCCCGACAGTTTATACAATATTCCAGCCTGACTGAAGAAATACTGCTGGACTGAGGAATTTTGTCACTTCCAGACATAGTCTATACAACGCCAGCCTGTTTGAAGAGCTTTGCTGGATTGAGAAACTCTGTCATTTCCCGACATAGTTTATACAATATTCAAGCCTGTTTGCAGAAATACTGCTGGACTGAGGAACTTTGCCATTTCCAAAGTTCATAATATTCCAGCCTGATTGAAGAGCTTTGCTGGATTGAGAAACTCTGTCATTTCCCGACATAGTTTATACAATATTCCAGCCTGACTGAAGAAATACTGCTGGACTGAGGAACTTTGCCATTTCCCGACATAGTTTATACAATATTCCAGCCTGACTGAAGAAATACTGCTGGACTGAGGAACTTTGCCATTTCCAGACAAAGTTATAATATTCCAGCCTGATTGAGGAACTTTGCTGGATTGAGAAACTCTGTCATTTCCCGACATAGTTTATACAATATTCCAGCCTGACTGTTTCAGTATGAGTTTTTGGTATGAGGCAGAGGTTGAGAGATGAACTGTTACCAGCCGTTCAGTTGATAAAACCAGCGAACACAAAGGAGACAGTTTGGGTAAAATGGGTCTCCCAGGCTATCTAAAGCTTAAATAATT